AAAGAGCCCGGTCTTCGACAAACAGGAGGGATTTCACAAAAACCAAGCCAAATTCAGCTCAGCACACAAGTGAAAAATTCATATTATCAACAAGTACACATATTTATGCGCTATATGAACTCAATTATCAGAGTATTGAGATTCGTTCGTACCTTAGGAGAACTGGGTCTCTTCAAGAAACCCTTAAGAAAAGCTGTCACAAACCAAAAGGAAAGGAAGATCAAGAAGAGAGATTATTCTCTCTTCCTGTCCCTAGCCCGAACCTCCCTTTTGCTCACTATAACACATGATGCTTCCCCTTTACAGATATTTGGTACAACTTCATTCTTTTAACCATGACTCACCATCTCTCTCTCTCTCTCTGTAGGACTTGGAATCTTGGTGCTCGCTGGTATGAATTAAACCTTTTTCTCTCCCTCTTACCTTTCACCTTTTTTCTGGGATTTATAAATTTTTATGTTTCTTTTGGCTTCATCATCATGATGAGAGAGACACACACAGAGTTGGCCACTTTCTCACTCAATATGGCCAGTTTCAACTAACTTTACTTCGATGGGAAGACTATAGCAAGCAACACTTCCCACTTGTAAACGGTTGTTGTTAGGTTGGTCCTCTGCCTTTACTTTTTCTTGATTATCCTGCAATAATGATTACGTTTTCAGGATACCAATCTTGTGAAAACTAATAAAGAATTGAACAATGTGTTCCATTTATAATGCAATATGAAGATTTCCTACGGTCACCTGTCTTGTTCATATTTTATAGAGGTATATATATTCATTGACAGATCAAGATCTTCTATTTCATACAAATGTGCCACTCACGAGCTTGATTTATAAAAATATCATCTTGTGTATCATCAAATCATGTGCCATCCGTGATCACTTTTCGATAAGGCCATTTTGGGAATTGACGAATTCTATAAATAATTAGTATCACATAAGTTACGTTGCTTAGACAGAAGACGTTTTGCGGGATCAAATCACCTAAACGTGATGTATAAATTACCAATAATTTAAGGTGTTGAGAAAATCTAATTAAACTTATCTCCTAAGCAGGCAAACATATTTAAATGAGGTAATATAGCAAATCTGCTTTCTTGTATGGACTTCACATATTCAAGACATTATTTAACTTTGTTGGAGTATTTTACAAACCAATACATTGCTTTCCTCACGCGACCAACATTCTAATGGAATAGATGTTTGCAGTCCTCAGGTCGCAAAAGGATTGCATTGAAATAATAGTTAACTCATAAATGCAAATTCTGTGCTCATAGGAGCAGAGATGAATTGTCGGTTTGTCAGCTAGTGGGTCTTCATCAGTGAAAATGTTGGTGACATCAAAGAAGAAACATCAGAAGCTCATCCTGAGATTAAAGCCAGCCAACCTCAGATATATTCCAATAAATTAACTTGTTCAGGGGTTTTAGAGTTTGCTGTTGGACCTAGAAATCATAAAGACTGCTTTGAAGAGAATAAAAAGGTTCGTATTTCAGACGAAAACGGAACCAAAACACAAGGTCCAAGGTCTAAGAACACATGATCTGATATGGTCACAACGCGTGTTCTTTGTTTTCAGCTTATGAAGGCCCTCGTTTTTTGACCTTCGTATGGTCTTGTGCCACCTTTGGGTACTTGAGATTTACGTAGTTCTCCGGTGAAGACGTTTAAGTACTTTCGTTTCAAACTTAGACACGCGCTCGACTTGCTTCAGAAAAGGGTTGAGTACATGGTTGACTCCGCAATACTCATATGGATAGGCGTTTAGTGTTGTTTATCAGAAATATACGATCCCATTTATCAATGAATGATGTAGGACATTATCATCATCTGATTTTCGCCTCAATTTCTAGGCTCTCCTCTGGAAATTGTGTGGAAAAACATTAAGGACTTTCTTGTGTATTCAGTAAAACAAATGTTGTTCAAGTGATTCATTCTTTCATTCATATGATGTGCCTTTTGAACGAATGAATATCATCCGAGGGATACCATCCTTCGTAAATGTCTTTTGGATTAATGGACTTCATTGAATGATGTAACCCTGTAGAATTATCTTTTAGATGAATGGAACTAACACTTCAAATGTATTTTCCCATGACTACACATCATTAAAATGACATATCACTTCAAACATGTCTTTCGAAGAAGGAGTCGCCATTAAAATGTTGCAATATTTCAAACATGCATTGTTACTCACTTTGCTCGCCACTTTTCGAATTTGGATCGTTGGACAATACACTACACTATACACTACAGTTCCAACATATATCGACCTCGATATGTTGGCTAAGTTCTTGATGGATTTTTTCTTATGCGAAACATTTCACTTCAAATCATAGTATCTTTCACTTCGGATCTGTTTATTAAAAGGAAAACTGTTCCCGAAAAATTATTTTTCGATTTTCTGATGTTTAGATGATGGAAAATTGATTGATCTATGGAAAACCTTTTTCATGAACCGAAAACAATAAGCTTAAATTGGGAAAAATGATTTCCCCTTCTAGCAAATGAAAACCAACCATTTTCTTTGAAAATGATTTACATGGAAAATATTTTCATTTATCATGAAATTTTCAGTGAAACAAATACACCCTTAAAGTAATCTTAGAGGTCATAATTGCCATTTTGTAAGTAGAGCCTTACCCCAATGGACGGGAAGGTTTTTGCACATTCGTGAAGATTAATCGAGTTAAAGGTTCAAATGCTTCACGTCTCAAGATATATACGTATCTTTTGTCCCCAATATATTTTCCCTACAGTCCAGCACCTAGTAACTAACTTTCTTGGTCCTGTGACGCAGTTGATGGAGTGTTTTCTACACCATCAGATATATGCAAGCAATAGCATTGTGTCCTGATGATGCATGTGTGGGTGGTATTGATGAGAGGGAGACTACCCAAAATTGGACCATCTTATCCTGGGACATCCCAATTCGACGCAACCATTAATACCATGAGGCTGTGCTGTGACCATCAACCATGTGCGACTTGCCTCATAAAAGGACGTACTTAGGGAAACGTATATTTTATGTACGTGAAAAATGGAGATGGACGTCCTCTATTCCCATGAAGCGTCCTAATCCATGTCGCAGTGTATAGAACGGCTGCTTGCATCTTTAGCTATCACAAACTAAATAATTCAAATGACATGTTTCGAGATTCCACCGATGTGATATGAATTGAGGCATGTTATTAAAGTATAGGTTATAAACATCCTATGAAAGGCCTTAAAAAGCCATGATTCAATGGAAAATGTGGCCGATTTAGGACTTTGTTGTTCACTTTCTTCATATGGGTTGTCGTTGTCTAAAATGACTGTTCCTAAAAGATGTCGCATGAGAACCAAATATGTAAATCAATGTCGTTTTGCAAATTATTCGAATTTGAAAAAATGACTGTTGGAGAATGCAAAAATGTGCTGTGTAAGGACAGAAATATACAACAAGCACCATTTTGGAAGATGGCAGTAAATTCTTGGAGCAAAACAAGCTTTATTCAGAATAAACTTGCAATAACAATAGAAGCTGAAAAACTGCTCTAGGACTAGGACTAAGCTAAACCCACATGCAAGGCTTATTTATCACTTCCGATTTATGAAACTGCTGATGAGAAAAATGGTAGAAGATGAAGATCTCTCTATCTGCATCATTTGGAGAGACAAGCATACAGCAGATCACCATGAGGTCAAACGCCCCAGAAACTTAGGATGAGCTATGAAGAAAAGCAAAGATCAAGAAGATAATCCGGCAAAGGCTAACAAAAGCCAGGTTTCGGGATATAGAGAGATGCTTTAAGGAAAGCGATACTATAGTCACCAAACCAATTGACAGAGCAACTATTTGGCTAATAAAGGCAAGATAAAGAACCCAACCTCTCTCACCAATTTTGCTTCGAATGTTCAGTTAGAGTGGCGTAAAAGCAAGTCAAGAACTTGATTTCCCGAGTGGGGTCCTAGTGTCCTTATAAGATCCTAAGGTTTGGTTTCTTTATGTTTGGTTGTTAAAGTAGAGGGAGAAGAATGTTTTCAGTTGTTGGGTCATTGAGACACGAATCTACTCCACAACTTAAAGATTGTGTACCATCAAGAAATGGATTTTTTTTTATGCAATTCATGAAAAGACTTTATACCATTACAATCTTTGTTTTTCTTTGAAGAGAAAAGGACATTACCAACTTTTCATTTAAGAGCACTTTGGACCCTCTATATCGAAAATCAACATTTTAACACCCAAAGATTTATCAGAAGAACCTCTTTGGTACCATTTCATATATGCAACTCCTGCAGAGAAAAAAAGTTATGAAAATCATAAGAATTAGATATTGCAGAATGTAGATTTTTCTTTGAATCCTCGCCATCCAAATTGAAAAATGTAAGTCTTAATTTTGACATTGAGAAGCACATTTTTTGAAACAGTTAATATCATTAAAAATTCCTAAGTCAACCTTATGACATATTTACCCTAAATTAATTTTCGTTTTAAAAAACGAAACAGATACCCTGTAACAAATTTACCTCAAACTAATTTAGGTCTCACTAAAATACACACCGGTACCTCTGATCCAAGTCTAACATCAGTTACCATTTCGTTCTTCATCCTATTACCATCCATATGTTTCAACACAGGTGAAATATGACAGCAAGACGGATTTGACGTAGAGAATATCATACCCGATGTGGAAAATCTGTGTGTTGACCGGTACACATTTTAATGGAGGGTAGAATTAGATCAAGGATACAGGTTTAGCATTTTTGGTGAGGCGAAAATTAAATTGGGGTAAATGTGCCGTGAGGTACCGGTTTGAGATTTTTAATGGAATTTACCCTTTTTGGAATGCAGATTCTTTTTGTGCTTTTCTCTAGTTGAAGAAGGACAGCTAAAAACCGAAAACAAAAGAAAAGGGGAAGAATTCATTTGGAGGCCCATGTGTCAAGTCCAACTCCGACACGACACACCATGGGCTTTCCTCGTGGGCTTTTGCAATTACAGACAGCTCGAAAAACCGAAAATTCTTTCTTCGTCCCCGTCGAGCTTGGCAGTGCGTCGATCGATCCTTGAGCGCGGTGCAGCGTCCATTCCTCCGCCGCCGTCCTTCGGCGGCTCTTCCTCCAAACACCGAGCTTCGGTCTACGTCCATAGCCCGATATTTCAGGTTCTCTCTCTCTCTCTCTCTCTCTCTCTCTTCTCTCGCGTGGATTGTTGGCCTCGGTCATTGAGCGGACAGTGATCTCAGTTTGTGAGCTGGTCATGGAGGTTCTGCATCGAATTTTTCATTTAACGCATTGATGGAGTCAACTGGGGAGGCCTCTGGCAGAATTTTCATTATGGCTTGCTAGTTTACTTATGTGGGCAGCTCATTGATTGCTTAATCTTTTGCTGAATTGATTCCGAGTGTTAGTGTAGTAAGCGAGGCAAGAGTAGGAAAGTTGCGTATCGATTAAGGGTCTAGCTCATGTGTTTTGGTTCGGTTCTTTGCGTTGGGAGCCTGCAAGTGGAGAAGCATCAATGTGTTCTTAAAGCCAAATCCTGTCTCTCTGCAGAGTTTTCTTTTCGATCATCAACTGGGCATCTTTGCGTTGATACATTGTGTTGCTTGCAATCTTCCCCAATGGCAACTGCGGCTTCTTCACTGCCTCTGCATATTTTAGGTACTAAAAGTCTCTATCTCGATGCTCATCCTTTTAACTTGATGATTCAAACTTGGCTTATGTTGGTAAAACTTGCTTGCTAGTTCGCGAACCGGACGGGTTCTCTCTGTGGAATGGACCTCCATTTGCTAATGGTCAGCCGGGCGTCAAGCTCGAGAGAACTCTGTGCACGAACACCAATTTCTGCGAAGATGGGTCCAGGCTGATGGTGATAAAGTCCGACTCCGTGATTGGCGTGTATGACTGCAGAACCTTCAAGGAAATCAGGAATTTCGAGATTCCCAATTTGGTCATGGCAACATTGTCCCCGAGCGGGACTTATCTCCAGACTTTCCAGAAATCCTCAACCCCACAGGAGAAGAATGTGATCTTGTGGAAAGTGGAGTCTGGGGAGTCTGTTTATCAGCTCTTCCAGAAGAACATTACTAAAACGACATGGTACATGATACTATTTAGGATCATCAGTTGGTCAATGATAGGATACTCATGAGAGTGCATACACATTATACAGCATTGCACCATTAATTTTCCTCATTTATGTCCATTTTATCTCCATACTTACACTACTTAACGGTTTGTGCGCTCTTCAGGCCTACGATCCGATTTAGTTCTGATGAAGCTGTTGCGTGTCGACTTGCAACAAATGAGATCCAATTTTTCGATGGTTGTGACTTTTCAAAGGGTTTCAATTATAGGCTGAGAGTTCCTGGAGTTGCTGCAGTTGAGCTCTCTAAAAATCCGGGGTCCCACGTTGCAGCATATGTTGCAGAATCTAAGGTTTGTGTTTGATGGCCATCTTAAATCAGTATGGGAATGGTTTATAACCTTGACTAATGTGGCAACTCACGAGAAGTTCTATGACCAGGACAGAGCAGACAACAGTGTGATGAACAGTAAAAGTAGATGCATTGTCTAGTTGCTTTTCTTTTTTATTAGACATTAATTTCAAGTTGACTTGATGACCTGGAACCTGTTAATAACAAACTCTTAGTTGGTTGTTTTGGTACTTGATGCTGATCCACATATCTAGAGATTCCGGTTCTTAAAGGTTGCCACAGCTGATTTTAACTGTTTCTTTTGATTTAAATTGTATGCAAAGATCGCTGTTCTTACATGATTCAAAGAGCACGATGACTTAGGAAGATCCATGTTTCACACCATGTACCATAGAGAAAAATAGTCTATATTTGCAGTGACCTAAGGAATAGTGGATTTTACGGTCAGCCATTACTGCTTTAAAGTGCACAGGTTTCATAATTTTGAATGGTTTTTCCTTCTTGTCTGGGGAGAAATGATTTTGGTGCTTAAGAGTACGCTTTTAGAAACTTTTGTCAAATGGAAAAAGCCACAAAAACCCCAAACTATGCCCACTGTGACACATTTACCCTGAAATTTTTTTTGTGACATTAAAAACCCCAAACTATACTCACTGTGACACATTTACTTTGAACTTTTTCTTGTGACAAAAAACCCAAACTTGTATCTATGTTACACATTTACCCTCCATTAAGGTTCCGTCAAATGATTTTTCAGTCAAAACAACGTTGTTTTTTATTTCACTTAAGCCATGTGAGCACCATGTCAACAGCGGTCATTGATAAAGGATAAATGTGTCACACAGGTACAAATTTGAGATTTTTGGTTACTTTTGCCCTTGTTATTATATACAAATGGTCCTTTATGTATGTTGATTAACTTGACCTTGATAAGATTTTTGTGGTATATAGGGTGTTCCTGCCAGTGTCCAAATATTTGCATGTAGGGAGGATCAGCAGAGTCAATCTGTTGCGCGGCGAAGTTTCTTCCGCTGCTCATCAGTGCAACTGCACTGGAATTATGGGTCTACTGGACTTTTGGTTGTGGTGCAGTCTGATGTTGATAAAACCAACCAGAGTTACTATGGGGAATCGAAGTTAAACTACCTAACAACAGATGGGACTCATGAAGGGCTCGTGCCTCTTCGTAAGATTTTATTTGTTTTCTTACTAAAACTACCTATGCAATTTTCTTTAGACTTATCTCTTGCATCTTTGGTACTTTGTCAGGTAAAGAGGGACCTATTCATGACGTTCAATGGTCATATTCTGGTTCTGAATTTGCTGTTGTTTATGGATGTATCCTTCACTGTTTCCAACTAGTATCATCACTTTTGTCACATGTGAGTATGATGGACAAACATCCATCTCCTTATTAAGTTTGTATCCTCAAGGATCTCTGCTAGTGTTATTCTGCAGGTGGAACTTTGTAATGATTGTTCTAACTCTTTAGTAGTTTGTTTGAGCTCTAGAAGGTATTAGGCTGCGTGATCTCAGTTGGATCTTTGGCCTGTGATAGAATATTAGGATGCTCGACTAATATGAAGTTAGGTGAATTGTGATGTCTCTAAATTCTTTTTGTTATGGTTCAGAAGTTTCTTGTAGTGACACTTCATTATCTATATTAGGTATGTAGGCATCTCTTACTTCTCAGGCATTATTCGAACTTTGTCCTTGCAAGTGTCAGCCTTCATTTTTTACTTTTCCTTGATCTGTTCTAGTCATGCCTGCAAAGGCTACTATTTTTGACAAGAAGTGCAATCCACTCCTTGAGCTTGGAACAGGCCCTTATAATACCATCAGATGGAATCCGAAGGGGAAGTGTATCCTTGTAAAACATTATTTGCTATGAGTCGATACCAAATCTGGTTTTCAATTTGGGTCAATTATTTCCTTTTATTACTTTCGTTTTCCTTTTCCATTATTATTGGAGTGGTTTTTTATTGGTTGGGGGGGTGGTTGGGTTTGGGGAGGGGGAAAGGGGCTGATTGTTTTGGAGGAGAATCTACCTTAATATTGTGACCTTGATTCTCTGCTTTACAGTTATATGTTTGGCAGGTTTTGGTAACTTGCCAGGTGACATGGTATGTTCTTTCCTTTTCACTTATGCTTTCCTTTTCCAATATATTTGTTTCAGAGTTATTTTTCAACTGAAGTGACAATTTTGAATATTACCTATTATTAGTACTGGGGATGAAGGTTTCTTCCTCAACACCCTAATTTATCCCATATTAGATTCTATCCCTATTGGGTATTCTTTTATTGAGAAAACCAATAGACAGGTTTTCCCTAGTCATTATTCTGCCTTTTTGCCGTTGCTTATGTGTGTCTTCAATTGTTTACAACTATTCTTGCAAAATCATGTAGGCACTGCAACTTTTTATTGTTGGAAGGATCAAAATAGGGTTTTTTGTTTTCTCTTTAAGAAGAAATAATATATTGATATGCTCGTTGAGGGAAGGTTAGGAAATCTGTTGCTTTTCTCTGAAAGCATCATTTGCAATTGGAAAACAGTTTTCCCAGATTAGTACTTCTAGTAGTAGTTGGAATTTGTTAGATAATTGGGATTAGACTCTTGGTTAGTTACAGAATACCATAATCTGTGGCTCATGATAAAGGAAAGTAAAGCTTTTAAAGTTATGCTGATTTACCGATGAGTAGAAGCTAGTCTGGCCTCTGGGGTCAGGCCCCTAATGAAGTCAACTTAGTAGATTGAGAGGCATTGGGAAGAAATATTATGGCCGAAAACTTGAAGGAGGGGCAAAGTTAAATAACATTGACATAACCGACCCACTAATGCTATAGAATCTGCGTTATTATTGTTAAAGCTTAGAGGGCTTCAACACTGACAGTGTAGCAAGAAATTTGGGCTGCGGGAAGCATCGCTTCTGTTAAAGCAAGAGAAGATATGAAGAGAGATAGATGAGGCCTTTTAGTATTTTGATTTGTTGGTTATATTATGAATGGTACAGGAAATAACCAATGTTGGCATACTTACTTTTATTGGAGTCTCTTCATTGTTAATGACTTTGTATCCCATATGAAAAAGCAGTGATAGTGGCTTTCTGGATTCTATTTTCTTCATTTACCTTCACTTTAACATAGCTCCTACAACTTTGGTTCGTGTTTTTTTCCAATTAGGCATGCTTCCTCATCATAATTCATTACTTTTCAAATCTGTAGGCATTTTGGGATTACAGGGAGAAGAAACAGCTGGGAACAACAAAAGCTGAATGCTCTGTAACCAGCGAGTGGTCTCCAAATGGCTGCTATTTTATGACTGCCACAACACTTCCAAGACTACAAGTTGACAATTGGTATGTTGATTCTTCTTTAAACCTAGATGTTGTGTTATCAACAGATCAGTCGACTTACTATCTGTGTACAACATGGTAGTAATTTGTCATATTGATCTTTGTTATGGGAATGAGTTCTGTTGTACTTGGTAAGAACATTTGATAGCTTTAGTAGTTGAATAAATGGTGGGATCATCATTGATAGCAAGTTATAAGTTGTATAATATTAGTCTAAAGAACCATTCATGGTTCAAAAAAGGTCTCATTGGCAAATCTTTTTCTTTGGGCAGATGATTTCATTCAATGTAGGTTTTGATTCTTATACCTTCTACTTCTGGTATTAGTGTCGGTCAAGCTACTTGCCAGTTAAAAAAACTCATGCTCATTCTACATTTTGGATTTCCTAGGAGAGGCTTGGACCTTATCTAGTGCCAACGATGCGATAATCCTTTAAGCGCAACTTAGTAATGCGCAGCTAATTTTGGTGGAATAGTGTTGTAGGAATGTATGTTTAGTCTCTTGATTGATTTGTCTTTCTTGTGGTAGTATTAAAATTTTCCACCACAACGGAACACTATTCTTTAAGAAGATGTTTGACAAGTTATACCAGGTTAGCCTTCTCTGCATGATCTATATGAATTGTACTAAATCAACCCGATCCTTGGTGGAATATAAATGGCTAACAACTTACACAGGCTGAATGGAAACCAGAATCACCCGAGAGATTTGGTGAAGTTGCTGAACTGATAAAGTCCGTTGACTCTCTAAAGGTGGAAGACCGAAAACCACAAGGTGTGGATTTATGTTTGGTAATCAGAGGGTGCTAGAAGGCACTCCTTTCTAGAGATATTTATATTTTAGGATCTGCTGAAGAACTTTTGCCACTTAAACAGGACAAACAGCAAAATCATCTCAAAATTCTTCAAAGGTAACTTCTACCAACATGCCTGCCCAGAAACCTGCTGCCTATCGTCCACCACAAGCTAAGAATGCAGCCGCTGTCCAGGCAGAGGTGATGATCAAATACTTATAACATTTCCAATCTATACCCTAGCTGCTTGCCTGTTAATTGGTTTTTCGATTAGTCCAGAAAGATCATCACCTGAGCTAGTTGGCTGTTTATATAGAACGTTCACGTGGAATTTGTTTTAAACTTAGAAATTTTTATTTTTTTATGGCTTTTATTTTTATTATACTGGCTCATGGTGGCTGCAGTTCTGTAAGATGGTTGTTTTGACTCTAAGGATTCTGCCCTATTTGAATTATCCACAATGAGATGTTGCAACACTATAAGAGAGTATCTCCATTTCTATTAGGAAAAAGCAGAATGAAACCTTTTGGAACTCATGCACGATTTGTTACATTTTAACTCGAGTAAGATTGAAAGGCATAAGATGGGCAAGGGCAACTATTTTGGCAGATACTTGCAATGATCTTGGCAGAATTGAAAATGCACATGTTTTGGCTATTGCCAAGACAATCATCTGAATGATTTTTATATCCTTTCTTATGCTCAGTATGAATGTGCTTCTAGATATTTTTGGCTCATGTAAAAGATGCCTCGCCTTACTACCTCCATTTTAGCTACAGTAGAAGCCATCATAATCCTCTCCATGTCAGAATGTCTTTTAATTTGATATAGGATGAAATGTTTTAACTCGTGTCTATGAAATTCTGATTTCCTTTGCTTGGGTCGTACAGCTGCTTGGAAAGAGCCCTTCGGAGTAAGTTTTTCTTTACATGTTTCGTTCATTGTTACATTGTCCTTTAGGTGATTAATACTGCCCCTAATTCACAATGCTGGTTGGTTTTTGATAACAGAACGTTGAGCAAGAATGCATTGAGAAACAAGAAGAAAAGGGAGAAACAGAGGGAAAAAAAAGCTGCAGAGGCCGGTTCTGCCCCAAGTGATTCATGATACGATAGTTAATGTGAGTTGCATGTCTAGAATCTTGGTCGCCATTTTGATTTCCCGTGCATAACGAAGAGGCCATAGGGAAAAACAGCGGCACAATGCCTTCTGCCTATTCCCTTAGAGTGGAGCTACTCCAACGATGCCGGTATTGGGCTTTTGAGTGGAGATTGGAAGACTTAACTTGTGTGGAGATGATCAGTGGACTTCTTTGCTCTCTGTTTACTGTTCTTTGAATTTATTGCGGTGAGGGGCAACATTGTGTGAAACTAGGAACTCCTTTTCTTCGAATAATGGTCAAATATCTGCGAAATAGCATGAATTGTTCGATTTACTTTAGCTTATACTAATTTGGCAAATGAGTCGTGTTCCCATGTGTCTTGGTCTATCTATCTAAATATAATGAAAGCTATTGCCAGCAGAGCATTCTTAAGAGCTTTGGTGCTATTATTTGCCAATTTGCTCAGTTGGATTGGCAGTATTAGATGGTTTCTTTCTCACCAAGGCACCTCGTCTTTATTACCCCTTTCCCTTCCCCTTTCTCTTCATTATTTCACCATTTGACAGTCACTTTTTTATATTTAAGCAATGATTTATCGCTTTAACAGATAATATAATATAGATGGGAGACAAAACCTTCTGTAGAAAATATTGAATGCTATAAGACATAATAAGGTATATATCCAAATCTTTTTCTTCCCTAAGAGGAGGAAATATCCTCTACAGAGCTTTTACGTCCCGAGGTCCAGACGGAACCTTTTAAGGACATGCTCAGGTCCGACTAGTTTCATGAATTTTGTACTTCAGATTGTGTAACCAAGCTTCTAATACAAATATAGAAAATATAAAAAAGTTACGGTGGCTTGGCTCCCAGTTCTACCGGATAAGACGACTCATCACCTCCGAACCTCGATGACCTCTTCTTTCTGTTCCGTCAAACAAACTGCTACTCTGAAAAATAAGATAAACAAAATGTGAGCTACAAAGCCCAGAAATCGAAATAATCAAGATCTGCATAGCAGTAGCAGATCAATTCCTTACTCATGATTGACCCAAATCGCACACATACACGATAAAACATTATATATTATCAGAGACAGAAATTCATAAATCATTCAATGTAGTTTAAAACCAGGTTATTATATCATTACCTATAATTTGAAAGATACAATTCTATGATAAACAAAAGTGGATTTGAAAGAGAGTCACGACAATTATTATGTCGTACACTTGAAATGCATGCGGATGAAACATGATAAAATGATGTGCAGGTATCACCATAGTAGTTACTAATAGACACGGGTGGGATCTGTTCACATCATTTTCTGTCTATTGGCCAAAGACTCATCTCCTTAATTAAGGCATCGCCTCGAGGAGCAAAAGATATCATGCACCTAGCCACACCTTTATATTTATCATGTAACCAGACCAGAGTCCCGTGTCATCTCATATAAGCGGACCTAAATCCCATGTCACTTCATATAAGTGGACCTAAGTCCCACGTCACACTTTGGGTAATCGATGGGTCATGACTAGAAGCCATATCATTTTTCATGGCATAAATCAAATGCCAGTATCATATCAATGTTGTTATGCTTATCCATAATTCACGGCCAGATATTTTCAAATCCCCCTGCCAAAGTAAAATTCACAATGCAGAGGAAAATCCCCCCTGTGCACATGCATAAATTAACTTTGCATGAGTGTACCAAGATTCTGTAATGCTCACGCTATAGGAAATATTAAACCCTTGTAGATCATGCATACAGCTAAGTAAAATTAATCAACGCTAATTAAGATAAGGTGACTATTCAACAAGGGTAAACATATCACAGGAACAACTCATTTTATTATTGCCAGAACGATTATCCACCACAAATTGATAAAAGCAAACCCAATATCTTATGACTTATCACAGACCTTATGTCCTTAATTATTGTAATGCATCCAACATTGAAGTTGCGAAAATAAAATAACATATACAAAATACTTAACATGCTGGACATACAATTTGTAACTACGCCAAACCTCTCAGCAGAAAATAGTAAATAAATATACAGCATCATATAAATGAAAACAGAAATAATAGCAGTTGCTTGAATTTTTTATTGGATATGTAATCGCTTGCTTATTTGAAGAAAAAAATAACGAGCAAAAGAATTTTCATTGATGAGTGCTTTGGGTGAGCGAGTCGATAGTTCTGGTACTGCCGAGTGGCACCCCAACCGAGTGGAAGTCTGGAAACTCGAGATTGTAGATGGATTCAAGTAATATTCTGATAGCCTCTTTCATGATTTTTTTCTATAGGTAGAACTACTATAAGCGTCTAAATTTCGTACCTTTTGACTCTAAGTTCCAGTGGCTCATAAGCTTTCCCTCAGTTCAGTCTTTTTGATTCTTGAGAATGGTCGCCCCCTCTCCCAGGACCAGAATAGTTCCACCCTGGAAGAACTTTGAATCATTCTCTTCAAGCTCCTCCTTTTTATCTAGAGGAGGAGCAAAGCCATAGTCATGAGAAACCCTAGTGTGGCTGCCACCGATCCGATCGCTCCCAATTTTGAGCTGCGAAACCCTTTGCCTCCAAGAGCAGATAAAAACCCGAACGCGTAAACAAACACAAGGAGGTAAAGCAGCACGTCCTTAGCTGGAGAAGAAGCATTGCTCGTCTTGAAAGCCCCAAGAGCAAAAGCCCCCTGAACGTTCACATCGAACAACGGATCTCCCAGGATCGCCAATCTCGAAAAGCCATGCACGTGTCGTGTCTGATCCAAGGAGTGTACACAACTTCCTCCCTCCTCAGGAATATTGATAACAATGTCTTTAGCAAGGCTATCCGACCCGCCGCCTGGAGATGCGCCGCAAGCGACGTGATTGTGCATTGTGCTTGTGCCTTGGCCAGAAACATTCCACATAGTCGGGACATCGCACTCTAGGGACCCGTGTGGTCTTGCTTTCGCTTGGAAGCTCCTCAATCCGGAGCTGTAACCACCTACGGTTGGTGTTAGCTCTAGGTGACTCAGTCTGTGGCCTCCGTGGGATTGAAACGTAGGGAAGTGCCAGCCACTGGTTATGCCTCGAATATCAAAATCACTGTCTTCGTGAGCAAGATCATCAAACTCGCTGCGAGAGGCGTGATTGCGCCTTCTGCTTCTAACTTCGCTAGGACAACCCCTCTCAGTTGGGTCACAGGTATGGGGCCAGGGGAGACAGCCTGGTCTTGCTTTCGCTGGCAAGCTCTTTAACCCGGATCTGTAACTACCTGTGATCCGTGGCGGCTTAAGGAGAATAGTTCCGTGGCATCCTATGAGGGCTTGAAGCGTAGGGGATTGCCGGCCACAGGTTTCACACTCGAAAACGCATCCAGGCAAGCAGTCATTAGCATCCTCAGTGACTACACGGGCATGTTGCCTCGACGCCAACGCCGAGCCAAACGGAAGGAATTCCTCCATGAGGAAACTTGAATGGTAACTCCTTAGAGCCAATGATCTCCTTCCCCACTCTGTGGCTGCTCTCTCTGAATGTCAAAAGGACAACTTGTGTGAAATGGATTGATTACAGAAGATGAGAAGATGTTGAAGGTCTGGTTATCGAATTAAACGAGTATCAATATTGGGAGAACGCAATTCTTAGAATGACAATACATTTTAGGGAAAATTCCAAATAAGGGCCCGAAATGCCCTCATTTTCTCAAATAAAGGCTTGAAATGGACCTTGTGTCAGATAAGGATCCAAAGTGTCATCTTTTTCTCAAATAAAGACCTGAAGTGGCTATAACAGTTTCAAATAAAGGCCTTACCCCGCCGGCTTGTCAGCCGGCCAAATTTTCCGGCCGGTCAAGGGCATTTTCGTCCAAAAATAATTTAAATATAAATTTTGGTTAAATTAAATTAAAAATTTTAAAAAGTTTTTTTTTAAAAGAAAAAAATAGGGGAGGGCGGGCAGCCCTCCCCCGCCTGTGGCCGCCACCTCATCACTGGTGGTGCGGCGGCCATGGCCGGCGGGGTCGCCGGCACCTCAGTGAGGGCCAGCGACCCTCGCCGACCAGAGGCAAGCGACCCTCCCGGTTCTGGTGAGGCCCTTGCCTCTGGTCGGTGAGGGTTGCCGGCCCTCCCTGAGGCGTTGACGACCCCACCGGCCATGGCCGCCGCCCCATCGGCGATGGGGCGGTGGCCACAGTGGGGCAGCGCCCAACCCTCCCCTTGTTTTTTTTTTTTAACTTTAACTTTTTTTTTGAGTTTTTTTTATGGAAAACAAAAACACCAAAGAAAGAAAAAAAAGAAAAAAATTAAAAGACGAAAATGCCCTTGATTCCGATGAGGTTTGGCCCTTTTTTGAGATTAAGATGGTCACTTTAGACCCTTATTTGAGACAATGTTTACTTTAGGCCCTTATTTGAGAAAACGAAGGCATTTCAAATCCTTATTTGACACAAGATCTACTTCATGTCCTTATTTGAGAAAACGAAGACACTTCGGGCCCTTATTTGGAATTTTCCCTATATTTTATTATCTTAATGACTTTCTAGAATTCCAAAAGGTCGTATTACCAAATTACCCTTCTTGAAACTCATTCTTGTACATTGGAATATTTAGACACGACTGAGAACCAGTGAATTTGCGCAGATTGCACGTTTCTTACCAATGCCTGAGTATATTGTCAAGAAAGATATTTTATATGTCCATCACACAATTGACGTGATGTGACAAATCATATTATCAGCAGAATCAATTTAGTAATCGATAACAGATTAAAGAACTATGAATATGCAAAGCAACAAAATCTATTGTATGGATTTTTATTCAGTCATATACTTTTCAAGTTTATCAATATAGACCTAAAGTTTTTAGCGAAATTCCAATGTAAACCTTCCGGCTAATTGCCACCGAGAATCACTGACGTGGCTATCCACAAGTGGTCCACGTCAGCTTGCCACGTAGGGAGGCTGGTGAAAACCGGATGCCATGTTAGCAATTTCCAAGCGGCAATTGGCCGGAAAGACTTTATTGGAAGCTCGTACAAGGGTTTACAACTTAATTGACAAAATTGAAAGGTTCGGAACTAAATAAATATCCGTACAATAAATTTAGAACTGATTAGATAAATATCGCCGTTACGAGCAAATAAATGGTGGGACAAGTTCTTTGATTAAAAGTCCATTGAAAATTCTACACCATGCATGCAGAATGTAATGGATTGATGACCTCTACCGACGCAATCCAAGTTTTAAGACAAAGACGAATGAGTCCTTGCGGTAATGGATCCTCAAGATTCCCGATAAGTGGAAGTCTATTTTACTTTTCCTTTCTTAATTTTTTTTTTGACTAAGGTCTTGGTGCAGTTTGTTCGAGATATTCAAAGATTACCTAGCATATAATCGGACTCGCTGCTTGGAGATGCGCCGCGAGAGGCTTGATTGTGCATTGTGCTTGTGCCTTCGCCAAAAGACCATGCTCTCGATTGCCAGCCCTTGAATTCGGCCAATCTGGGGCGATCGAATGGGCAGTTATACCAACGGAACGGATAATCATCTCCCGGAGACTCCAATACGCTCGGGTGCTTAGTTGGGACCATAAACTCCCCCATAGTCGGGTGCCGATTGCCTCCATTAAACGCACGTACACTTGTGACCTTATACTGCCGAGCAGGCGTGTTCCAAAAACGTTCCTCAAACAGCTGCAACAGACCTCCCAGGATCTCCGATCTTGGGTCGCCGTGATCCTTTCCCTTCTCAACAATAGCGAAGTAACTGTCTTTGGGAAGACCATCGAACTTGCCATTCTTCAAAGCATCCCTTATAGTCGGGTCAAGACAATCCATATGGACGACTTTAGCAGATCCATCTCCCATAGACGAGTGAAGGATAAAGTGGGGCGACTGTCCGCAGCCGCAATTGCCTCCCTCCTCAATGTCTTTAACAGGACCATTGCCAGTCGGAGAAGTGCCATCGTTAGGATCACTCCCCACAGTCGGGTCAGGGTGCCAGGGGGATCCAAATTGCCCGCCACAGGTTTCGCACACCAAATTGCTTTCAGGTGACGACGAGTCAAGATCGATAATGAATCCTACCAGGTCGGGGGAGTACTCTGACTTGCACCTAATTGAGACCTTATCCCCCTCGAAAATCGGTTTCCAAAAGCATTCGTTAAGCTGCTTCGTAGTCGGCTCCCTATGGCCTCCCTCAAAGGTCCATACAATGGGGACCTCAGACTGCCCCATAGTCGGGTTCCAATTGCCTCCCAAGACCTCGGAATCTATACCAATCCAGGCGCGGTTGATTCTTAGGGGCAGATGTGCACAATCCGATCTCCAATAATCATTCCTTTCCCCGTCGACTCCCTGAAACTGCCACAGAGTCGGGAGCAGATTGCCTCCCTTAAACTCCGACATTATTGGGACCTTAGGACAGTTGGCCGGGTTCCATTCCTCAATCTCCCCCATATTCTGTTCCCGACCCTCAAACTCCCACTTAGTTGGTTCAGGGAGTAAGATGGCCCTAACTGCTCTTGCTTCCCGCAGCCAGCTCGTCAAGCCGGATATTTCACCACCTATGATCCGGATCGGCGGGTACATGATAGAGCGCTCGGCTTCAGGGAACAAGCTTTTAGGATTCCCGGCATGCCAGATGGCCAACATGCGTGGCTTCTTCCATCCGGCATCATTGTCGCACTCCACATATATCAATTTGGTTGTCCTCCGCCACCACCACATGGCTGATCTCTCTGAATGTCAAAGGAGAAATTGTTTGAAAAGATTGGATATGGAAGATGTGAAGATTGAAGGTCTGGTTGTCCAGTTAAACTGGTACAGTCTTGTGATTTGTGAGGGTGCAAATTCTTGGAATGACTATACAATTTTGTTTTCATCTTAATGACTTTCCGGAGTTTCAAAGGCCGTATTACCAAACTACCCTCCTTGAAACTTGCTCTTGTGCATTGCAATATTTAGACACCACTGAGAACACGGTGATACCACACAAATTACAGGTATATTGTTGATGCCTGAGCATATTATCGAAAAAGTATTTTATATATGTCCATCACACAACCGGCTTGATGTGACCAATCATATTATCAGCGAGATCAAAGTAGTAATTGATAAGGATTATTATAACCAAATAAAATTCAAGGGTTAGGCAAAACTTTTAGACCATGGCACGTTTTTTTTATTAAAAAAGATCTTTTAGAATTCTAAACCTTTTATGCAGAATGTAATGGATTTACAATATCTATTCATCATCGATGTCATCAAGTCTTAAACTTTTCTATTGAAAAAGACGATTAAGTCCTTGTAGCCATGGTTCCTCAAGATTACCTATAAGAGTCTTTTTTTCTTTACCTTCTTAATTTTGTTTTTATTTTGTTTTTATTTTTTGCCATGGGTCTTGTTGCAGATGTTCGATAAATTCGAAGATGGCAGCTGTTCGTTTGAATTAAAGAACACTAAAGGCTCATCTTCCTGGAAATTAAGTTAGTCGACCACGGTGTCGACTTCTTGGAATTATGTAAAGCACACTTAGTAAAGTCCGCACTCTCTGGAATGGGTCCAGATACAAAGACTTTGTAAAGTCCGCCAGGGTCCAAATACAAAAGACACAGTAAAAAACATGAAGACTAAGGAATGCCGGACGGAATGGGTCCATATACAAAGTAATATACATGGAGACTTAGGAATGCATTATTTATCCCTATCGTGGATAGAGAAACCTCTTTCTCATACCCAGAAACGTTAAGAAAAGCCAATTTCACTCTCCCCGCCTCATTTTGCTTCCATGGCTCTACTCAGAACCAAGAGGACATTGCTTCATGCCAGCTCCCAAAGCGTCACAATCAGTTCATCCGAATTCCAGCATCATCATCAGCATGAAGCATCCATCATGAGATTCATCATCATGGTCACTTTTCTGATCGGCAATACCCTGACCCTTGTTCCGACGTTGATCCTCAGGCGACACTCGTTGACCTTCAGAGCGCTAGTGTCGTCCATCATGCTCGCCTTCGCATCCGCTTTTGTATCGCTGCTGATGATCCACTACAAGAAGACGGGTTTCGCAGTGAGAATTTGCCGATACACTTCAATCGTTGCCATGGCTGCGGTTTTAGTGTTGCTTCTATCTGTCTCGGCTCTCCATTTTTGGTGAAGCACAAATTTGTCAGTTCCTAAGGGGCAACAGCGAGACAGCAACATTTCACCCGAGAGTTCGATCCTAGGCAATAGCACAGGTATTCTTTCGAACTTTTCTCGAAGAGAACGATTCCCTTTCTCTCGCATACGACCAGCTATGTATTCTTGTTATGTAATCCGAAATCAGGATTGTGTGACTTTATGGCAAACGGCATGGACTAATCGAAAATAGAGAGAGGCCACTTTGAGGGAAAATTAGGAGAGGAAAGCTGCATTTTGTTTGTATGGTCGAGTTTCCTCGAAAACCCGAGTCATCTGAACCGAAACT